CAACAAATGTACATATGTGCTTGACACAATGGATGTATGTATGGATTGTGATAAGAATTGTACGAGCCCCCAATAAAATAATTTTTAAAAATTGTAATGAAATGTGTGAAAACCTAGACTTTTTTAAAAAGAAGGACATATTCAACATATTTTGAACTGAAAGAACTGAAGAAAAATTGAAGTGTCCAGTCACAGTATTAAAAGATTATATTGGGAAATATGTAAAAATGCAGGAAACATTTTTTAAAATGGGGAAAAATACACTAACTGTACCAAAAAGAACTGATTACCATTCAACCATTTCAAGAGGTAGCATATGAGCAAAAACCAATGGTACTAAAGAATGAAGCCCAAGTTTCATTGCAAGCAATAACCAAAAATAAGCTCCAGGGGTTGATAGAATACCAAGTGATGTATTTCATCGACTTGATGAAGCAATGGAAGCATTCACTCATCAATGCCTAGAAATTAGGAAGACTTTCTCTAGTGACCAGAAGAGATCCATATTTGTACCCATTCCAAAGAAAGGAGGCACAATAATATGTGAAAATTATAGAAAAATATCATCATCACACACACACAAATTGCTGAAACTCATTAAACAATGGTTGCAGCAGGACACTAACAGGAAGTTGCCAGAGGTTCATCCCAGATTTAGAAGAGGATGCAGAACAGGAGCTATCATTGCTGATATCAGGTGGATCTTGGCACTAAGCAGAAAATGCCAGAAACATACCGGTATTTATATGTGTTTTAGCGACCTGTGGAAAGGCATTCAACTGTGTGGACCATAACAAACTATGAATAGTCTTGAAGAGAATGGGGATTTGAGAAAAATATATGGTGCTCAGGGAGAACCTGAACATGGATCAAGAGGCAGCTGTATGAACAGTACAATGGAATATTGTATGGCTTAAAATAAGGAAAGCTGTGCCCCAGGGTTATATCTTGTCATCATACTTATTCAATCAGTATGTTGAGTAAAATCAATCATAGAAACTGTACTATATAAAGAAGAGCATGAAATCAGATGTGGAGGAAGGCTTATTAACAACCTATGGCAGATGACACAAACTTACTTGCTGAAAGTAAGGAGGACTTGAAGCATTTGCTGCAGGTTTAGTATGAATTACAACTCAGTGAAGATTATTGGATATTGGATAACCAATCACTTTGAACTTGACTGCATCTGATCCTGAAATTCACTCTGCCAACTAACTAGCTTTGTGGCAATGGACAATGCTAAGGTTGTGCCTTAGTTTCCTCAATTGTAAAATACGGGTTTAGGAAATGTCTTTTCCTCACACTTTTGGTAAAATTAAACAACATGTGAATGCTTAATGCATAGTAACTGGTAACAAATACTGAGATCGTTTTATGCTTTTTTCTTCTATTTATGCTTATTTTAATGCTAGTTTTAGTTTAATTTCTGGGTTGTTTTCAGTTACTGTGAATCCAGAATAAGTATGCATTTTTCATATCTTCCCCAGGAAATTGCACCTGCTTATGTAGAAGGAAACATTACTATGAGTACTGGTTCAAGAGCAATTCTCACTCTATAACATACCTTGCATTCAACAATTTTAGATGACCAGATCTATGATATATTGAAGTGAAAGTAAGTCTCCATACCTATCTGACCAGGACAGAACAGGGACTACTGCCCTGTATGCTGAGGGAATGAACAAAGTACCCTGTGAAACAAGAAACGAACAAAGGACTTTGTGAGAACTGGCTGGGGAAAACTTACCATGGAAGCCAGGCACCAGTAAAATTATGGCAATGATCATACATGAAGATCATTCTGAGATGTGCTAAGAGCAGCAGCCCAGATAAGACAGAAAGAAATGGTGTATGAGACCCAAGGATGAACTGAGAAACGAATTAGAAAGTTGCTAGACCATTTGCAGAGTGGCAATAACCTCCCATTTGAAGGTGCCTCATAGGAATTAAAAACATTCCCCTAGACCACATCCCCTCTCACCTCTGGAGTGAACCAGATTCCCCTCTGAAGGGAAGTGTATCTTTTTTTTTTTAAATCATTTTATTGGGGGCTTGTACAATTCTTATCACAATCCATACATCCATCCATTGTGTCAGGCACATATGTACATTTGTTGCCATGATCATTCTCAAAACATTTGCCTCCTACT